AATTTTCACCTGTGCCATAGTATCGTTTTTGAAGCAGGAAACGTACAAAAACGCATATTCCTTAGGCAGATTGTGTAGCTCGGAGAGTATCTAGGACATTTCCAATACGTTCATCGTGACTTTTGAGCCATTTTACATACGTCTTTTTACTCTAGCTGCAGTTTGCAACAGGAGCATTCTTTCGCTTTAAAAAAGGCCCTTTTTAAGGAAGACCCAATACAGATACGATTCGTTTGCTTTACAGAGCAGAGGTTAGGAACTCTCGTACAGATGCATATTCGGAATTAGTTCTACAACTTCGATTAGAACTTCACCAACGGGGTCAGGAAAAAACGGCGAGAAAAGCTGTCCCTCCGATGGCGTAAAGCCATGACCGTATTTAAAAAAGGGCCCTGCCTTCGGTAAAACTTAACGCTTTCTAGGGCTCCCTTGAAAATACAGTTAAGGCTCAGCGACGAAGTGGAGGTGTCGGGGCACGTAATCGAGAGTTGGAAAAGTGGCGGCAAAAAGATTCAACAGACCGGTCAGGCTGGGGCGGGTTGGGGGGACGGGCAACTTATCAGCCAAATTAATGGGCGGCAATTACTCTCGACAACGGGCGGGGGGCGCTCGTAATTATAACAAATTTCGAAAAGGTCCTCGTCGTAATCTCGGCAATAATTATAACCTCCAACTTTTCGGGCACGTCCACGCTCGTCGTGCGTGTAAACAACCGCCGACTTTTGTTTCGCCGACAGATGGACGCACATATTTCATTGGAACGTGCGCCGTCGCTGCGCAAGAGAGCGGTACCTAAGACCCGAAATGGAGTTCGGAGCGATTGGACCTATTACTTTTCCGGGCGAAATTTTGTTAAATGAGTCCTCCGTTTTTCCTAAAATTTTCAATGAACGTCTAAAAACTACAAAACTATTGGATTACACAAAACTAAAAAAAGTGGATAAGAAGAAAAAGAAGGGAAAAGAAAAAGAAAAAAGGAGAGAAAAAGGGAGAGAGAGAAAGACAATTCATCCTGGTCTGATGGACATCGGATTTTCATTTAGATCCGGTTTATTTTAACGGAGTTGTGCTTAGAAGCCATTAGCCCGATGGAGGAGGTCTCGAACGTAGAAAGGGGTGAAAGAGGAAAAAGAGAAAGAGTAAGTAGTAACGGGAGTAGACGAATATGGAGAAAAATGTGGATTAGAAGAAAAAGAGGGGAAAAGAAAAATAAAAAAGGAGAGAAAAAGGGAGAGAGAGAGAAAAACAAAGAGGAGGAGAGAAATAAAAGAAAGGGAAGAGGAAGGAAATACAAGGAAAATCCTGTTCTGCTTCTCCCCCTTCTTCGTCCTCTTCTTTTTTTTCTCCTCTTTCTGTTGCATTTCTCCTTCTCTGTTGTGGGATCTGCCTGTGCGTTCAGCCTTCTGTCTCTTCATCCTTTTTTTCGTATTATTCCTCATTTTCTCCAACTTCCTTCTCTTTTTCTCCCTTTTTACCGTCATTCTAGAGGAGAAAATAAGGAAGAAGAGGAAGAAGGGAGAGAGGCAGAAGAGAATTTTTCTTGTAATTCCTTCCTCTTCCTTCTCTTTTATTTCTCTCTTCCTCTTTGTCTTTCTCTCTCCCTTTCTCTCTCCTTTTTTTCTTTTCACCGATTTTGTTTGCAGCAGAAAGAGACCAAATCCCGTTTCAGGGAATTCAATAAGTTAGTTGAAATTCTGATCAAGCTTAAATGTTCACACATTTTTCCTGCCAATAAAATTATCGAGAAAAGATATCATGAAAATGAAGATGAATTGGATTAAAACTCACTGTGAATGATGACTTTTCCTTTAAAAAATAGCGCATTCACCCACCTGAAACAAAAAATCAATGATATAGTATTCGAATTCATACTCCAATTGAAGCAAAAATCAATGATGCCATATTCGATTTGATATTCAAATTTCATTTGGGTCACATCAATTTGAGGACGTCTGAGGAACCATACGACGTTCTCCCTTAGCAAGGCTAAATACACACTATCACGCCCTTGTTAAAAAAATGTCGCAAAGACATTAGAACGTTGCCAAATTTCCATCGGTATATGCACTTTTTAGGAAATTTATGATTTTTTTCCTCCTTAAAGTTATCAGTTACATGATATTGAGGCAGCAATTATATTAACGTCAACTACTTTATATAAAGTAGACCTCAAATCTTTTTGTACCTAATTGAAATGTTTGAACTTTTTTGCCCTGCTTCCCCCAAAATAGTGTAAGCCCCGCAATTTTATACCCCCTTGTTCTTCATCAAATACCGCATAAAATGTTTTGCAAAATTTGAATAAAACCAACCGTAATTTATTTTTAAAGACCTGCCCGTAAAGAAGGGCATTTTGCATCGTCCCGATGTTCATACGGCGTTTTTCCCGAAGACGGCGGCGTATTCTGCCGTGCTAGGGAAGAACGCCGTATGAGCCATTAGCCGTTGCCGAGTTTATTTCAACAAAAGCCAAATATACTGGAAAAATTGTGAGTATTTTTTTCCAAAAATTTTAGACGATTTTGCTCACAATTTGATGTAAAATCCCTGAAAATTTCAAGGAAAACTCTGGATGAATCCCGTCAAAAATACATGTTTTATCAAGGGAAATTTGGCAACTCTCGAATGTTCATACGGCGTTTTTCCAATGGACGGCAGCGTATTCTGCCGTTCTTAGGAAGAACGCCGTATGAGCCATTAGCCGTTGCCAAGTTTCCTTCAACAAAGACCAAATATACTGCACTGGATAAAAACACATTGGATCTAGAGTCCAGACTCTTAAAAAACATCGAAAAGAAAAAATGCTCTTGATTCAATTGGATTTTTGCTTAAAACAAGAACCAAGCCTCTTAATTTGAGCGGATTTCGTTTTGATTCAAGCAAAAATCCGATGGAATCAAGAGTATTTTTTCTTGTAAATGTTTTGAAGAGTCTGGTCTCTAGATCCAATGTGTTTTTTTTTTCCAATGTGGGAAAGTTGTGAGTATTTTTTTCCAAAATTTTCAGACGATTTTGCACACACTTTAATGTAAAATACCTGAAAATTTCAGGGAAAACTCTGAATGAATTCCGTCAAAAATACATGTTTTATCAAGGGAATCCGGCAACTCTTGAATGTTCATACGGCGTTTTTCCCGAGGACGGCGGCGCATTTGTTGTGCGGTCGTTGAATATTCATCGTGGGCGCCCGGAGCCGAGCCGGATCCGGCCGGGAGCGGAGCCCGCGACGTCGGCGGCGGCGAACGGAAAAAGGCGAAAAGAAGAGATCGCGTCGGAAGAACCGGGGGGAGTTATTATGCTCTGACAAGTTGTCCACTTGTTTTAAGAGCGGGAATATCAGCTCGTTTGTCGTTCAAATTAAATTAGCATACCGACGTGAAACCTCTTTCCCCGGACTCCGCGCCGCCCGACTCGCCGAGCAGGCGAAATATGACAGGAACTAGTGCAAACTTTAAAGTACACTCACTTTAATTTAGGTAGTCCCTGTCCCGGGTCTCCATTCCGCCCCCGCCGTTGCCACGTCTCCCTCCCTCCGCCCGGATTCTTCAACCCTCCCATCGATACATCCCTATCTTCGCAGTGATATATATCGATCGAGGTCGTTCGATATTCGATCCGGCTGAAATCCGGGGGAACGGCGTCCGCATCTAATGATGATTGCGAATAACGCGCCGGGCAGTTTGTTTGACGATCGGGGGATTACGGCAAACTCGTTGCGCAAACTGCTTAACATGTCCCTTGTCTACATCGTTAGGGACCAGTTAGAGACGAAATATTTTAGAAACCCCGCGCTGGCCCCCTCGCCTTTGTCAGCGGGAAAAGGTAACGCCAGGAGTTTCGCGTTTTCTTGCGGGTGGCGCTGTACTAATCTTCGCTTAATGATAAATATTCCAGTTTAGTGTATTAAGGAACTGTGAGACATAAAATATACGACCAACTGAGGATGCTATACTCAAAGGTGAAATCGCACGAAAATTAGGCACAAAAATACGTTAAGCTATCAAAAATTTCTGAAGTTCTCTCCTTGATACACTATGATGAGGCTACTAGTTCCAAAGTGCACAATATCCATCACAGTGGTATGTCACAAAAACTCAAAAGGCTGTTTTAAGTACTGTACGTTTTGCTGCGACCTATCTTCTATTACTGCTAATTAAAAAGGATTTTGGCTGTTTTGGCACACAATTAGATTATTTTCTGATGGCTCCTCTAATGGCTGATCAAGAATCCACTTCTAATTCAATTTCGACCGAAATGAACATTGTACACTTTGGAATTAGTAGCCTCAAATCTACGTCGTAACTATTGCGCGCTTTCTAATTTACCACTTTCGAGGGCATGCAGTTTCTTTTGGTCGATGGCAATCAAGTTTGCCAAAAGAGATGTGAGAAAACCTAACATAAGTATCCAAACAAAAAATTTCGCAAAATGTTTTTCACGTATGAAATCAGCCGTTGAACATCGTTCCAAGCGTGTACTCTTTCCTTCCTCATTCATTTTTGTCTTCAAAACAAATCGATGGCAAACAACATCACGTGTGCGGTTTTTCAAAGAGTATGCTCCTATTTTATTTTCCTGTTTATAGCTTGAAATTTATACAAAACTAGGGGCACGCCCCCTGACCTATTTGTTTTCGGTAATGTGTTTACTTATATCAGTTTCTCTTACGTTCTTTCTCCAAACATACATGGTTGCAGGTGATTGAAAAAAACAAACCAACCGCATTAAGTGAGTGTGAATTTTTCTGATCTCCAAAGAGTCCAAGTTTTTCTTTTGAGAGCATGGCACGCTCTGAGGTAACGATATCTCGAGGTTATGTGAGGATTCCCCCAAAAAAGGATTTGTTTTTAAAAAAGAAACAAAACATAAGAGGCAGGCTTGCGACTTTCTTGCATTAGAAAACAAATTGCACCGCCTAACAGGGGCGAATAGTACTACTTTCTTTACTGATACGCCTAACCCATGTAATGGAGCTTTGACGATAAAAAGAAAGAGAAATGAGAGGAAACCATCCCTCGGTGTGTCTCCGTTGAGTGAAAGGAGCAGAAACGGGGACACCGCAGTCGAAGAATTTTAATAGATGTGGCAAAGACGTTTGCCGAGGCTATAAAATTGAAAATGCTTTTAACTTTTAAATTCATTTAGCCCGCGGAGGGACCTACTTGAGATGCTTTTTCTGAGTTAGAAACAACAAAACTAATAAAACCGTAATGCAATTGGATCCTCAAAACGAACTCGAAAAAGAATCAGTGGCAAGGAGGAACAAGGCGACGGGAGCTGTGCCAGTTCTGCCGTGCTAAGGTAAAACGCCGTATGGGCATTCGAGAGTTGCCAAATTTCCTCTGGTAAAAAGTTTATTTAGGAAGGAAGTTCTGCATATTTTTCCTTGATATTGTAAGATATTTTAGATCGAAGTACGAACAATATTGTCTGAAAAATTAGAAGAAAAATGCTCACAGCTTTCCCAGTGAATTAGTGTTTTATCAAAGGAAATTTGACAACATCCGAGAGTTCAGGCGGCGTTTTTCCTTAGCACGGCAGAGTTCGTGTGAAACCCGGAAGACAGCCTTTATGGACTTCGTGACATTCTCGAATTCCTCCTAATTTTCAGAGGCCCGGCAGCTGAACTTCTACAAAAAATATTTAATGATCCTCGTTCTTTTTCGGCTTTATTTCTTTATAACCGTCATCGTGAGCTGAAAAGAAGACTCGATTGTACTCCGGTTCAGAGAAATGAGCCTATCGACAAGAAAACCAACCTAAGACTTAACATAAAGTTGGTAGTAACATAAACCGAAGGCTCACATCTACGAACCGGAAGAGGCTATTAGTTCGATCGACTAAAACCTCGGTTTTTTGAGTCGTCTGCTTGACTCTTCGGTCCGTATGACCGATGAGAGAAGGGGAGCAAAGTCATCGATTTTTGCGATGTTGCGTGAAAAATGGGAAAATGAATTTGAGACAGAAATACTGCAGCGTAGGCTTAAATGCGTCTAAGACCCCTAATTCTTCTACTCTAATTCTGTACTATGAAGCTCTTCATTATAGAAATCGCAACCGATGTTTTGTCTACTTTGTCTTTAAACGAGAATACATACGAAAAAAAAACAAAAGAAATCATTTCGTGACTCCAAATCTAAAAGGAAACACCCATGAACAAGTAAGTGTATTACTTCATGAATGCGTATTCAAAAGGTTCTACTGATATAATTTAAGCCAGAGTTGGAGAGCTGCTCGTAGCTGCAGGAAGCAACCCTACGCATAATATCGTATTCAAACGATATCAAATAAAAACGCACAAAAATTCAGCCTCAGGTGCGTGAAAGATCTTCTCGTCCCATTCAGTTTTCATTTATTTTAATTCCATAATTAAATTCTCACCGCTTTTTCTTGCTTTCACGCAAACGACTTCATTACCCGGACGTAAGGACACAGTTGCAAAACTGCGCTTTGAAAATCAATACGCCAACATTGATTTCACGGAATATTTTCCGGATTTCCGGGAATTTATGCAACCTCGGCGTGGGGTAAATGGCGTTGCGCGACCAACCGGCGAAACAGGAGCGCACGAACTCGGCGAAAAAATGCATTGAAAAATTCAGTTATTTCATTTCGCGGGGGTGAGGAGGGGGAGGGGGTTCCGGAGAGGCGAAGTTAATTAAATCATGATGATTCGAGTCGTATCAGGATTAAAGTACGATTAAATTGAGACAGAATTCTTGGGGTCGCGCGCCACGAGCGGTTGAGTGCGCAAATTCTGACGACAACAATTTTAATTGCATTTTTCAGGGCGTGTAATACTCGAGGGGGCGAGACCGTTATTCCAGGACGTTTCGCGTTTCGGTCTCTGAAAAAGTGAATGATGAGACCCTGAAAAAGATTATTGGAAGCGCTGCTCCCTTTCCACGATCCATTTTACTTTTTTACAGTTTCGTAATTGCATTGAGAGGAATTGTTAGGGAATCGTCAGCCCGGGACGTTTTAGTTGCTGAAAAAATGAATTATGGAAAAAGTATATACATCTTGAAAGGTTTCCTGTTGTCTCACACTGGTAGCTATCCTTGAATACGAAAAAGGACTTTTAGCTATTTTAAGTAGAGTTGAAAGAATGATGTGGAGGTAACTAAATGATTGTCAAACTTTTATTTCAGGGACAAAAACAAATTGGTAGAATTTCGTTCTTCCTATGAAATCTAATTCGTATCGAAAAAAAGGAGGCTTTTCTCTGATTTTGACGATTGTAGTTGTAAGATGGTTCTAAAATCAAAGTCCGCGGGTTCATCTACAGAAAATGAAGAATTTTTTTTTTTTTTTTTTTTTTTTTTTTTTTTTTTTTTTTCCAATATTGGCATCATTAGCACAGGCGTCGCATACTTTAAAAGATAGAACTGTTGACTCGTTCCGACCTCAAAAAGGTCTAATACTATCGTAATATTCATGAGAAAAACGGTTTATAAGTCGATGACATATCACTGAAACTTGGGGGAGGTACACACATTCTGTCCACAGTACCATCCAGTCCTGCAAGGCTAGGGCTGATGTCTATAAAAATCTAGGCGATGCCACACAAGTCCTAGCTGTAGAACCATTTTTCCGCATTTATTTTGGAATAATTTTTTACAGTTTTATCTTTATTTGCGCCTTCGATACGAAAATCAGATGCAAAGTAAGAAATTAAAAACATTATATACAAATCTACAGAGTGCAATCAAACGTAGTGTCAAAGAAAGGAACAAAGAGGCAGGGAACCGTGTCTAGTAAACTTCAAATGTAAGTCTTAAACTTCACCATAAGAGCGTGTGTGTGAACAATTATGAACCCAACGACCAATATTAAATAAAAATTAGAAATTTATTTTATTTTACAAGAGAAGAAGAATTTTTTTATATAAATTTTAATTTATAAGGTTGATTTAGCTTTCAAAATGAGCGTTGAATATTTATGGATTACTCAAAAGCACACCTTTTTCCATCATGAGTCCAATAGAATTGACGCAAGGAAGTTCGGTAAAAGTAAACAATTTACTTGCATACTTATGAAAGAGTCGCCAATATGCCGACAATTCGGGCTCAAAAAAACTTTCTTGACAAATCAGCAACGTCGTTTCCTCATGTGAAAGGCTAACTAGTGTTGAAATCAAAGGGTGAACAGACTGGAATGAAAGAAAATATATGCAGAAAATATTTAAAACCAGTAATTTGTGTTATAATCAATGTAAGTTTAAATTGTGTCATTTTTGGATCTGAAAATAGATTAAAAAGAAAAAAATATTAAAGAGTTTCTATCATACTAAAATTGAATTAGAAATTTTAAAAGAAAATCTTTTTACAAATTTACATTTAAAACTTTCTTGCTCACACCAAAAAATGGCAAATGAAATAGCTGAAGGTCGTATTCATAGTTATTCCTAGAACGCTTAGGCAATTGGGCAATCTTAACCGATGTAACTCTTTTGGCTTAAAAAGGCCTTAACGTTCATGGAAATACGGCCCTAACTTGTGAATACCAAAAATTGTGTTGGATCAAATGAAATATACTGACGATGACTGTTATACATTTGACTTGAAAATAAGCATAATTTTTAGTACTTATTCCTGCTGCTTGCCGAACTAAATTTAACATGCCAGACAAAATAATAATAATATATATATAATGATTAATATATATATATGGTAATCAGTGGAATTGGTAACAACAATCGATTGACCTCGCAGTCTGATCCCACATCAAAATATTTCTGAATCGTAATTCTGTATCAATATAAAAAGGAGCATTCGTACCTTGTTGACAAAAAAAGATTGAGTAAATGCCAGAGGAACCTCAAAGAAATTTTGTCAAAGGATAATTTCGACCTTACCTGCTCATTGCTAATGATATTTGACATTAAGATAACATCTTGTTTCGGCAAAGATCTCAGGTCTTCACTGTCACCCCACGTTAAAACTTGAGCACGAGCTCTTCCACCTGTCCCTTCTATCTGATCCTCATTCCTGAAAATACTTTCCAGCATGAACGGGAGGACGCTAGGTAGATCTGTAATTGTTACATCTCCCCTACAGTGAAATACAACGGATGCATAGGGGATTAAAAGAGAAGCAAGTCACACGACAATTTAAAACAAGACAACGCGTTATGGTTGCAGAGGTACTGACAAATATTAACTTCGAGGTTTGTCCATTAAACCTCAGCTGATTTCAACCCTAAAAGTAAGTTTTTATTTGCATTTTGCAGGGTATTTAAAAGAGGAGAACGACGTTCTTTATCATTGCAGTATATTTAATTTCAACTATAGCTAGATCTTGATCTACTGTTTTTTTCCGTTTTTTTTTTTGGAGTTACACTAGGTCATTTTAAAATTTCCAAGGAAACACCCTAATCCTTAAGAACATTTTAATTGATTGTTATTCTACCTTCAGTTTAGTTCATGGTTTACTTTGAAGTGAAACAAAAAATTTAGATGCTTTTCAAGATGAAATTTTTAAGTTATAGTACTAATCAATATTGTACATAATAGAGGGAGTATACATATGGATACTAGAGGATCTATTTTCATCGTCTCAGCTGTCTTAGACTTCATAGCACTGCTAATAAGGGTCCTAAAAATGGCGAAAACTGTAAACAAATTACTTAAATGTTAATCTTTTCCCTTGAATTTTGGATCCTTATGTATTGTAAATACGTACCCAAGACAAGCAGCTGCTATACCAACACAGCCAAGCCCTGCACCAAGCTCTATCACTCTTTTCCCTAGGAGGGAATTGTTTTTTGAAGAAACTTCCAAATAGGTAGCAAGTTCCTGAGCTGATTCCCAGGAAATGTCACCGAGATTCAAATTATTGTATTGTTGAAATATGAGAGTTTTATTCAAACTATTCATATGATGTAACCTTCTCCAAGCATCCAAATTAATATTCACGCCATCTATGTATTTTGTTTGAGTCGACTGTAAAAACCGAAATAAGTGGTAATTACCAAACTAATAGTTGAAATATTGCCTTAGCCTTTAATGTAATAAATATTATGGAGCTACACATCGTCGATCCACTTTTCTTATTGACCTTTATTTAATTGAGCAGCAGGGTAACATAAATAATGATCGTTAACGTTGTTACAGTTTAATATACTTTATAATTTTAGTTTTGTTTTTAACATCTTGAGGAGTACTTTCAAGTATGAAATTCCCAAATTTGGAGGGACTCTAAAATTTTGAGATAAAAACTGACCTTTTCCAGGAAGGTTAATGTAAGAAGACTGATAGTTACGACAGAAAATCTCCGGTCAAACATATCACGACAGAAACGCGTGGGGCGACTGTACGATGCAGTGGTCAAGAGCATATGTTTCTTTACAGTAAGAAAAAATGGACTAATTAAGAATAGTTGATACTGAGAAGCAATATCAATTTCCGGTTATGATTAAGACAACTCTCATTCATGATGCCATTGGTTTAATGTGAACGAAGTTGGAAGGAAAGAAGGTTTGATAAAGTTATCTTATCCCAGTCAATTGAAATGAAATTTTTCAATGACTCGACGCATGTCTTCAATGTAACGTAATATCGACAGCATTTGACTTAAATATATTTTAAACCTTTCTGATATGACTAATTTTGATGGTGAAGTGTCAGACGTAAGTGCAAATTGTTCTCCTTAGCTTTTTGTGATCTATGTGCACTTAGATATTACATTTCTTGGAGAGAGATAAAATTCAGTGATGATTATAGCCACAGAAACGAGAGCAGAATGAACGCAACATTTTAATACAATAGGTGAAATCCAAACTATACATATCAAACATGTGTTGGGAAAACAGCTTGTTACTAACTGCATTATGTATCCTATTTGTTGAGCGCGATCAAACTTCCATTTGACCTGTGTTGAAAATATTTGCTGATATCTCGTTCAGGAGTTAATTTTCGAAACTCCCATTTTATGGTTCGTTTTCTACAAAAAATTTGAAGAGAATTCATGTGACGTTTTCTAGTTCAGACCATGTCTCGTGGTCCATTGTAACCAGTTATTTTCAGCATCAAATGAATAAAAAAGCACGAAAAACTGACGTCAGTGGTCGCACAAACGCTCAAGAACTACGACTTAAAATCACCGAAAGAACAGTATTGTCCAACAATGACCCAGACTCCGTGCTCCCAGCGAAAAAGAAAGGAATAAATAAACGAATGAACAAGGGCGAAGCCGCACCTACGCGCAAGAAAAATGAGGGTTTAAATTAAAAACAAACAAACGCGGGAATGGAAACCCGTTGTTAAGACGCGAATAAATAAATAAGAATAAATAATAGCCGTCCCTGAGGAGCGGGGGAGGAGAGGGGGGCAAGGGACGGACTTTTAAAATCGGATGCGACGGGATGAGCGCAAATGGGGTATGGAACCACGGTCACCCAAGACGGAGGGCGGAGGGGTAGGGGGAGAGGAGTGTCTGCGTTTGTCAACGGCCGGAGATTAATTTCCGTAGACTTACCACTGTTGTGAATTTACCATATTTTCGGTTTTTTTCCGAGCCTCTTCAAATCATTCCGATATAAACATTTTTTGTTTTCGTTAAAAATTAAATTCTAAGTGCCTACATACAGAATATACTGCTATTTCCGTACAGCTCTGTGGATACCTAGTTCGAGGCTCCTTATGGAGTCCTCATTAATTAACCAATGTGCTTTGACGAATCCGATGAGGAGGAATTTTTACCATTGTATAAAGGGATTATAAATACCAGAGATTCAATTGCAATTTCAGGTAGAACACGATTTGTAGAGCGAAAAATATTGCAAGGAGCTCCTAGCACAGAAATTGACATTTTTTGATGCAGAAATTCAAACTTTCCAATCAGTGGCGTGGTGTTCTTTGCGATATATCGATTGATCTGCTGCCTTCTTAACACACGGAAAAGGATCGATAGTCAGGGTGTTCGCAACGAACACCTCAATAATCAATTCTTTACTAATAAAGTTTCTAATGGAGAAATATCGATAATCGATCATTCAAGCCTCGCCCCCTGAAAGTTAATTTCAGTAATTTTTACCGTACAAATCTTGTGCAAAATTGAAGCATAGAGTCTTATGCGATAGTTACGCAGTAGAATGCTTAAGTATGTATCTTTTCCATAAGGAAATCCTTATCACGTCCACACGTCTGTCACCATCTTGTTTATGAGAACAAAGATACTACCACAAAAATTTAAAATTCATTGAGCAATCAAAGCGTGGCACACTATTTTTGCATTAAAATGATTGAGATGGCAACCCTCTCTCTAAAGGGTAACCTGGTAATTTCGTAAGGACGCAAAACTGGCAGTTGCTACGAAGAAAAGATTTTTACAACGGCTATAAGAGTATCGAATACCGTTCTTCGTATTTCGAAGTTGGGCGTCCTGATAGATGCGCTACGGTGTCTTATTCAAATTAACGAGCTTTCTAACTTTTTTAGTTGACGAAGCATTACTTTTAACGGATGATTTTTACGAATCATGACCAGCTTATAATGAAACATCTAATTTGTTAGAGGTATGGGGGTAACTTTTTCTTTGATCATAAAACTACGCTGAAATTAGTTCAGACTGCGATGAGACTTCAATAAAGTATAAATTACTTACGAAACAGATGATAAGATCAACAAACAAAAAGCATGATACCTTTCGTAAGAGGATATTCGGATATTTTCATCGAGTGAAACGAAAACTTCCAATGATAATACTTAGATTGTTCTTTCTCAGCTCTGAGTGTTTCTCAGGCGATCAATTGTGAGGTGACCATCAGTATTATGAGTATAAAATTCATTGAAGGATTTAATATATTTGACAATAGTTTTGAAGAAGTAACAAAGAGAAATCCATGGTTTTGGTCTAACTCGGACGCAAATAATCATATCTTGAAAATTTAAAAAAAAATTAAATAAATAAAAAAATAGAGGGTGAGGTCAATATTGAAGGTAATTGTGTTTCAAATATGGGAATAAAATGATAGAGTTACACCGCACACCTGTGCACAGGTCAAAATATATCTTTACTAGAAATAGCGCAGTGACGCATCACAGTTCGCCTTCAATCCAGGAGGTAGGCAAAATCGTACCTCAGAAGTTCGAATAGTGGTATCACGGCTAGTGTATTGATGCCGCGAAAGACAAGACGTTTGAATCGACAAACTTGGGAAGACTTCACTTTTCACATCTTTACATTGATTCATATACATGTAAGAAGTATATCTATACATACGGGAGGAAAAGTGATACATTTTTATTTTCTTAAAATATTTGTGTTATGAAAGAAGAGGAAACCCATCGAGAATCATGAAACGATTAAAAAAAATCAAATCAAGTCGATTGAGTCTCACAGAGAGGAATTAAAATATGTTTAACAAACGAAAGGTATACTCATCATTTGCTCGATGAAACTGCACAAGCATTTCCTTGCTTGCCGGAGAAAAAAAGATGTTAAGAAAACGTGCTTAACAGATCAGATGAGACATCTTATCAGCCTCTTACCATCCAAATATTCTTAAGCCTTCCTTTCTAAACCTGGCAACACTCCGCAGTATGAGCAATAATGGCATCACCACTATCAAAGTAAGAAATGTAGACGCGCGAAGGTAAACGCGAAGGGGGACGAACGGAAATCGCGAAAAGGTATAATAAATAAATTCAAAATAAATTCAGGCAAATTGCGGACGGATAAATCGAAGGGATGATTTGCCCCTCCCCTTTCTCTCCAACTTTCATCGCCTTCCCACGACCTGCTTTCTGCGAGGATTGGTGATTATTTCCAACGTTGCCAGCTTGCGATAGGACTATGACTATCCCATGGCTGATTTTCCACGTGAGTTAAAAACAAAAATATTGATACAAAAGCAACGAACGATTCTCCAAAATTAAGGCATGCAAATTACGCGAACTGAACCATACGCATTTCTTTAACCATAACTTGATTCCAGCGTTGTCTATTGTGCCGATGACGGACATCTTTGTTGATTTTTATCGCGACTTTAGCAATTTTCCGAAAAATGCATTCATTGCTTAAAATGCATCACAACGTTTCCAGTTCTCGAAATTGCAACGTCGCCAGTTCTCAAAATCGCAACTTTAAGTATCAGTGAGCATTATTTATGGGGGCTCATCTGGCCTACTTTCACGAGTCGTTCTTTCTGATGCATTTTGTTCTTCCTTTTGGAAAAATACTGTGGAAGTATAAGAGCGACGTTTTCAAAAAGTAATCCTGATAAATCGCCCTGAATTTTAAACAAAAACGATGACGGTTCTTCTTTTGAAAAAATTAATTTCGACAGGACATCCGTAACATCATTAGAGTCTAGTAAATATGTTTGAGAAAATTATAGAATTTTCTGATCTTTCCCTTCTGAAATGTGGGATGTGATCCCTACGCTTGTTCAAAACTTCTTAAACCTCCCTTAGCCACGGTGTAAACAACACAGGGCGTCCCTGTGGAAATGAACTGTTTAAGGTACGGCTATATTAATACGGCTCCAAGGTGTTGCAGCGATGGAAATCACGGCTCCTCGAAAATGAGAGAGCACGGCAGCTGTACTGCAGTACTATCGTAAAACGCCCTATGAACATTCAGACGTCGCCAAATTGCCCCTCTTGCAAGATTAATTTTTGAGGAAAATTATCAACATTTCTCCTTGAAATTTTCGGAAACTTCAAATCACAGTCTATGGAAAATTTGCGGAAAAATTGAACGGAAACTATTCACAAATTTCTCTGAAAATTCGTGTTTTATTAAAGGTTATTTGGCAACGATCGAATGTTCATACGGCTTTCTTTCTCAGCACGGCAGTGTAGATGAACCTGGCTCGACCGCTAACCCAATAACCCGATTCTCTTAATCTTAATTCCGTCGTCTTGATGGCAGAGACGGTGTGTGGGGGGAGGGGGGCTGCTTTCTGACTCGGGACAGTTTCACTTCTTGAAACTGGCTAACCATAAACCGCACCGGGCCGTGGGGACCCCTTGCAGCTGGGGCGGCCTCGCACGGAATCATTCATCTGCATTAGATCCACGGCTTCGGGCCCAAAAGCCCGCTCATGTTGCCAAAATGCCAACTTAAAAGTCATATTTGTAAAGATCCAAGACCGCGTAAATCAACTTGCCGATGTGTAAAAAGATGCACGTAGCGTGATGCCTAAAAATTGTGTCAAGCTGAAATTTGAAGTATTCCGCCCCTTCCCCTCAATAAGCCAATTTTCACGCAACTCTGAATACTCTCCCCTTGAAATATTACGCCAGAGCCAAGAAATCGAGTCAAATTTTAGAGAGAAATGAGTTAAGAGCAGTTTCTAGCCAGAGTATCGCACATTGTTCGAAGAGTGGAGAGTTAAAATCCGGTAAGCGTCACTCATACAGTGCTGCTAATATCTTGTTGCTATTTTTCAAATTTAACC